GCGGAACGTAGGACTTACCCCTTCGCCGGAGATTGAAAACCGATGTAGCCCCGCGTCAGGTGCCAAGTTCCGTCGGATGATAAGTAAAAACCTCGGTAAAGAGGGTGGCGATGCGCCAAGAGTAGTTGTATTGATCGAGAGATATTTTACAATGACCCTGGGTGCACATATTTATACCCATGGGTAGATACTAGTCCCTGTCGGACAAGAAAGAAACTTCCCTAAAGATAAAAGGAAAACATAAAGTCCTTATTGGACACTAAACACACTTTCCTAAAGATAAAAGGAAACTAACAAACTATTCCTAATTAATAGAAAACTTGCCATGTCACATCCTCCTTGAACTCGGACTCTTCTGGATAAATTTCCTTTAATTGATCCGACTCCACCTACAACACAACTGCTGGTGATTTGACGACTCCCATCGGCTGATTCCAAGACTCTGAAGCCGATACTGATTATAGGCCGATGATGACTTCGGGCTTACCAAATTTTGGTGTTAACACAATGCCGCTCCTGGGCCACCTCCTCTCGCGCCACCGCGCCCGCAAGGCCGCCTTCGTCGTCCGGCGAGCGGGCCCCGCCTAGATCTGACGAGTTGCAGCGGTCGGTTGCGTGCGGGCCGGCGATTTTCCTTTCTTTTCATTTTTGGTTTTTTTTGGTTCCGTGCGGGCGGTATAACTTGACCGCACAGGATAATCGATTATCCCGTGCGGTCCACTTAACATGACCGCACGGGAAAATGATTATCCCGTGCGGTTGGGCTGCCCGCACGCAAAAATATTGATTTTTCCATACACTTAGCTGCAGACGGGAAAATCCTCCGCACGGGAAAATCATTTTGACCGCACGGAAAAATGCATGTCGTAGTAGTGATATACTACTATTTTCAATACAAAACAACCAAGTTATCAAAATATATTCAATGTCAAATTCAATGAAATTAATTTGGTGTTGTAGATGTTGCTATTTTTTCTATAAATATGATCAAACCTAAAAAAATCGACTTATAATATAAAAGGGTGGGAGTAGAAAGCAACTGCAATGTACCAGGTGGTGATAGCCACTGACGATGAAGATGAGGTGCACCGTGCAGGGCAGGGTAGGCAATGAAGATGGTGCTGGTCCTCAGCTTTACCAATTGTAACTCTATTTCATATATAGGTTAGAGTAATTCATTATTCTATTCTCATCCAAAGGATGAGAAAAGTGACCAGAATTTTCAAATATTTCAGTCAGCTAAAAGCTAGAGAATACCTAACATGGATAAAAGTCTCATAAGGTTGTAAACAAATATTGTTGATTTTAAGCAGCCAAAACATGAAGGAATGAACTAGCATTGTAGACCAACTCATAATCCATGTGTGAAGAAAACTTGATGATTATTGGGTCAGAAGTTACGACCTTTCGAAGCCAAATATTCGAAAAACACATGCAAAAGAAGCCAAAATTTTCTTCAAAGAGTTTGCTTTAATTGAAGCACTTTGATCATTAGTGCCACTTCCATTTTAATATCATTCTCTAGGAATAAACAATGACGTGACTACGACAAGACCGTCGCTGGTTAGGCATATCCAGTGACCTCACTTTTGGTTGCTACTAGTATAGTATACTCAACAGTGAATGCCTTTTTTTTTATAGAATTTTCTCTTAAACTACTTATCCGATCTATAATCCGAGTATACCTTTGTGTTCATTACAATTAAATATTTGCAACAAGATTTTACATGATTATATTCTGATAAAAAAGGTATCTATGTTGTAAATTACTTTTATTATATATAAGTTACTTTTATCATCGATATAAATTACTTTTAGATTTAACCTCTTTAATAACTTATACATTTTAAATCATGTATTATTTTCAAGAACTATTTGCACCATTGCACTCTATATAAAACATGTGACAAAACAAGATCCATGTTGAATATATTAAAATATTTTATTAATTTAAAAGTAATTTATTTAAATTGTAGAAATAACTTAGCTATGTAATAGAAGTAACTCTCTTTAGTAGAAGTAATTACATTGTAACTTAGTTGAAATAAGAAACTATGTAGAGTAAATTCACAAAGCAAAGTGTTGAGAAGATTTTCAAGTAAATGCATTTATGAAAGTAAATTTAATGGAGTCTAAAAGTAAATTTAATAAATTCTAAAAGTAATTTACATCAATCATAAAAGTAACTTAGCACAAAATAGATGTTATTACAACATTAGAAGTAAATTCATTGTAGAGAGAAAAATATGGTCTATGTAAAAATTAAATTTAAAGTCCATAAATTATAGAATTGACTAAAAATAATAATAAAAATAATCAACTTAGAGCATTATGAATGTATAAAAAGTAATTTAGTCAAATATAAAAGTTATATATATATATATGATAAAAGTAACTTACTTATATAATAAAAGTAATTTGCAAACATAAATATTTTTTCATCGTAATATAATCATGTTAAATCTTGTTGTGAAGATTTAATTACAACGAACACAATAGTGTAATCGGATTGTTGATCGGATAAATAATTTGAGAGAAAACTTTATAAGAAGAGGGAAAAAACATGCATGTCTAATAGAAAAAAGGCATGCATGTGTAGTAGTACTTTCTCGCACATGTGTTGTTGGCTGAGCCTAAACCTAGAGGCTTCTCGGTTTAGATTCTGTGAACAAACAATGGAACATTTGCTCCAGACAATTAGGAAGGAAGCAAGTTTACGGTTAAGACAAATGGGGATAAATTCTCCAGACACGGGAATTAGTACGATCAGTAGAGCCTGAAGCAAGCTCTGTGCCTAGGCAGTTCCAAGCTACAAAGTGCACCTAACAATAAAACAACAATAATATTAATGTTTGTCACAAGAAACTGATATGGATTAAAAAAAATCAAAACTACAACCAAATTACTCATATTTTTATATATTTTCATCACATGGTTCAAGAAAACTAGGAATGCATCCTTTTCAGGATGTATCAGCGGCATGGATAGGCTTACCTTCTTCCTGTGGCCGTAGTACTCCTTGGACACCAGGTTCTTCAAGTTCACCCCCGGCATTGAGCCGCCGCTGCCCTCGTTCCTTCCCTCTTCTCCTCTTCTCTCCCCTCCACCAATGTCCCTACGCACAATGCCAAGGACGTGTTTTCCGGTTGTTGAGTGAGATCGAGAAAAATGCTACTGAGAGAGGGGGGAGGAGGGGAAGAATTCACCGCAACAGCCAGAGGAGGGCGCAAGGCAAGGTGGTGAGAGAATGCGCCATTAGGGGTATTCACCGGCGGCGTCGGGGCAGCGAAAGGGGGGGGCGGTGAGAGGGGGGAGGGGGGGAGAGATCACTTGGCGGAGGTGGCCACGGGATCTTATAGCGATTGCTACTGACTGGATAGATACCGCTCGACTTGACTGGAGCTATAGACCGTGACAGCCACCTCGAAAGTTCAAACATGTTTGAACACATTGGCACTGTGACATATGTTCTTCCCTGCCTCACCCGCAATCTTATATATAACCCGATTCCACCGCCACCACGAATCCACGATCCATCGAACCGATCCTCCAATTCCATGGCGTTGTCGCCGCTGCCGTACTCCCCGCAATCTTCGTCCTATAACTCCATGCAGCCTCAACCACGGCCGACGCATGACCCTGAGCCGTACTATTCGTTGGAGTTATCGTTGTACGGCTACTTCCCAACCTCACCGCTGGACTATCCATCCTCACCGTCATCGAGGTCGTCATCGGTGTATTCTCCCAGCTCACTGGGGATTCCCTTTTCCAGTGGCTCACCGCCGAGTTATCCTCATATCACATCGTCGTCATCAAGTTACTCGCCGAGCTCGCCGCCGTACGCCCCCACCTCGCTGCTCTACTCCCTCGGCAGTGGCTTATGGCACGATGACGACGTACTCAGGCTACACATGCCGTCGCCGGAGTATTGCTACTGTTGTTCGACGTCGCTCGAGCTTTGCCGTTGCCCGGCGGGCACAGGCAACCTAACCATGTCGCCATCGTCACCACCGCGATATGACTATGAGCCAATGGAATTTGGAGATTCTAATTTCACCGAACCCAACAAAGCTGGAGAGAATTGAATGTAACTTTTTTTTTAAGATGTCCGTGGATATATTGTTTGCCGGATTCCAAGTCCGCATGATAAAGTGATACATGTTTTAAGAAATGACACCTGAATATAAAAAAAAACACAAACCCTAACTTTTTTTTTGTTTATAGGATGTAAAAGATGTAAAAAAATGCTAAGAGTGTTTGAAATCTAATCTACTTTTTTTGGGAGGACTATAGGAAAAACCAAAACAACGAAAAGCAGGGAGAGAGCGCTTGGGGGAGGGGGGCTTTTCGGTAAAGCTTTGGAAAATTCTAAAAGTTACATATTTCATCCATTTGAGTTTAATTTTTCTATGGTTGGTTCTTGAGTGCTCCTAACTATGAAAAAAATATAAAAAAAGAAAAGAAAAAAATGTTGAGAGGAAAAAAAAAATTTGGTGGGGAGGAGAGGGAGGGGCGAGGGGGGCGGGGGCGGCGCCAGCCACATTGGCGCACTCCCCCTGGCACCTGAGCGCAGCCCCGCTACGATGGCAGGAGGATGGCGCCGTCCCGTTGGACGACGGCGCCAACGACTCTAGCACCCCAAAAAAGACTATTTCTGGGATAAGTTTTTTTTAGTCTATTTGCGAAATAAGTTTTTCAAAATGACCAAATTGTGAAAAATCCAGCCCACTTGGCCGCCTCTAAGATCGAAACCAAACCAATCCATACAAGATTCCAGGCCAACCCAATCCAACCCATTCTTCTCAAATGGACTCAACCCATTTCCAATCCATGGGTTGAAACCAAACCGCATGAATGCTTCCCTATCTCAGGCCACCGTCTCTGCTTGACTGCTTCCTGCAACCATCTCCCACACAGATCAGGGCCAGCTTACCGTCGGTGCAGGAAATTTGATTTTGATTTGGGGGAAGTACATGGATGGAACCATGGATGACCAATTTTTAATCAGGCCACATCCAGTCCAACCCAACCCATATTAGATGTCAGTCCGATCCACTCCAATCCAATGTGAAATCTCAGCCCACTCAAAACCAACCAAACAGATCCAAATCAACATCAAACCCATTCTATCCAAACAAATCCAGCCTCTCACTTTTCCTTCCGTGAACTTTTCTGAGCTCACTAGCGCTGTAGCCCCTCATGCCCTCGTCTGAATTCCGAAGAAGTCAGTCACGCTTGGCGGCTGAAACAATAGTTAAATACAAGCATAATCAATCAAGAGTCTTCATCAAAGCTCGGATTACTTTGGGAAAGCAGCATTACCACTCGCAGGGTAAGCGTCACAAGCCTCCGGCCCGGCGGTCGCTGTCTCAGCTCATAGTCTCCTCCTACCCATTTGCTCCCTGCCCTCTACCTGTTCGACGAAATGCCGGAGAGGGCCATCACATACGCCGTGGTCAGTCACCGGTGCTAACTGTGCTGCTGGCTAGCGAAGCTGTTTAATTACCATCGGTTGTTCCATCTATGATCTATTGTGCTGCCCTGCAGGTTGATGCTTTCACAGATGAGCCATTCAAGGGGAACACGGCTGCCGTCTGCCTCCTCGAGGAGAGCTGGGAAGAACAGTTGGATGAGCAGTGGATGCAGTCCGTTGCCGCGGAGTTCAACACCTCCATTACCGCGTTCTTGGTCCGTGCTGATGCTGATGCTGCAAATCCCCAGTTTCATATCCGTTGGTTCACTCCTGTTCGCGAGGTACGTAGTATTGATTTAGCAACAAATTTATGGCTTATTTACTTTAAACTTTTTCTCAAATTTTAAAAATAAACACTGCAGCAAGCTTTTCTTTATAAAAAAAACCCTTCTGAAGTTCTGTTTGACAAAATATTATCCTATCTTTTTCTTGTTATTTTGTTCATATAACTCAAATTTAAACGTTTTGTGTTGTGCAGAGTGAACTTTGCGGCCATGGAACATTAGCTGCTGCGCACTACCTGATTTCATCTGGCCTTGTGAAGTGTAATGCGATAGATTTCTTGGCAAAATCTGGATTTCTAACAGCCAAGAAAGTTGTTGGCCTTAAGCAGTCCAGCACCTTGATTTCTCCACTGCAAGAAGCTTGCACGAAATTCTTAATTGAACTGGATTTCCCCCTCATTCCAGTAGTCAAATGCTCACCTTTGGAGATGCCATCTATTCCTGAGACTTTAAATGGTGCATCCGTCAGTAATGTGCTGAAAACTGTTTCTGATTCTGCCACCGATCTCATTGTAATTTCTCTCACGTATATACTTTCCGTAGAAATGCAACCTGTTACATTGAAATTTAGCTGTGTGAGCTTTATAGTATGCTAAACACAATAAAGCTTAAAATATGGCAGGGGTTAAAGATCAATTTTTGAACATTGCATTTTGTTTTACTAGTGAATTATTTTAATAGATTGTCTCAATAATCAGCATCTTATTTTCTTCCTATCTTGTAACCTTCTGAAACAATCTGGCAACCATAGTAGCACGGAGGATTTGGAGCAAATAACATGGCTTAACTTTTCAGGTGGAGCTTAATTCAAGTGAGGAAGTTGTTAATGTCCGACCAAACATTTCTGAATTAGTCCAATCTGCTGGAAGAGGGGTTGCTGTTACAGGGCCAGCTCCTGTTGGATCTAGCTATGATTTTTTCAGTCGTTTCTTCTGCCCAAAATATGGATTGAATGAGGTAATTCAAATCCATTGTAGAATAATATGATAGCTGTTTTGGGAGCTCCCAGAAACTTTATTTTCAGTTGGCTCATCGTGACAACAGTAGAATGTGATAGTGCCATTGAATAGAACATGATATTGGGCAGTGCCAGTGAATCCTGCTTTTGCCCCTATTTTTCTTCCGCATGCATGTGCAACCCAAAATTAAGTAAAGAATTTTATGTCAGATATTATCGTTCCCAAAAACATCATCAGTTTTGTTGACCTGTATCCTTTTGGCTTAGGAATCACATATTCGGAACAGATCATAATGTAAAACTTTATCTAAAATGGACTTCCTCTCACTCTCTTACTTTGCTGATTATCAGGATCCTGTATGTGGTAGTGTGCACTGTGCCTTGGCTCCTTACTGGGGCAAGAAGCTAGGTAAACAATGCATGACTGCCTCCATGGTAAGAAGCTTTTAGACGTAGACAATCCCTGCTAAAAATTTGAGACGATCTTATGATGGAAATTGTAGCCTATTGTCATGCTGCATATATTTCTTTGTGTTTATGTTTTTTTCAGGCTTCCCCAAGGAGTGGAACGCTTTATCTGCAATGGGATGAGGCGGCCCAGAGGGTTCAAATTCGCGGAGAAGCTGTTACTGTCATGGTTGGGAACATTCTAGTCTAGAAAATACTTCTGATTATTGAACAACTGCCATCAAATCAACGAATAATTTTGGCAGCTTTGGTCTGAAGTTTGAAACTTTGATCCTGAATCCGTACTTAATGCTTGTAATCACTGGAGTACATGTCATGTAAACGTAAATTCGTAAATTGCAAAACTTGTTTGCAAAAAAGAAAATGTCAAAACATTAGTTTTTTAAGAGACTATCCTTTTGGACTATCTGACTAGGATATTGGTTGTGGCTTTGATTGGGTGTGCGGATAGCTGTTCATTCGGTTCCAATAGCAGTTTAGCAGCTCTAAACTGAATGAACCGGTTAAACAGGGACGACTGGACCTGCCGGCCTAGCAAGGGATGGCTCTATATTAATGGACCAAAGAAGGGCAAATATTGTCTCAAATGGCCAACAAAGGTACCATTTTGCAAATCCGCCAGTAGTGGCACGAACACAGGTGACCAAGCTATAGCTACTCCACCCATCATGCTGCTACTTCAGTTCTGTTTTAACTTAGAATATACACACTATTTATATGTTACGGTTCGACACTAGCTAGACAAGCCAATCTAGCATCGTCCAGTTTATTTCAAATATAGGTAGTGTAAGATCTTTGGTTGTGCTTTTGATATTCTCGAGAATAATCAAATTCTTGGATAAGGCTATCCAAATTTATAGCTAGAAACTGATTTATTTTGGGACAAGGGGTAGATGAAAGAGCAGGACTAATAAGACCATGTGATAGAGCATGGCCAATACGATATGCGTCCATACACTCCTAGAAAAAAATATTTTTGCAGGCAGCCAAAACTCTGTATGCACCCTAACGCCTGTGAAAATCAACGATTTTTGTTGGCGGGCCCCTTGTCCGCCTGCAAAAATAATTTTCGCAGGCGGCTCTGTTAAGTGGTCCGCCTGTGAAAATGTGATTTTCGCATGCGGACACCTAAAGCCGATCACCGCCTACCATTAAGCTTGTACTAAAACAGGTGGGTAAAAACCTTAAGAGTTTTGACCAATATGCAAGCCCTTGTGCAAATTCTGAAGTTGTACTAGCCGGATAGTCCGAGTGATGACGGACAGTCTGAGCTAGTACTTGTCCAAGTTGCTAGAGCAACATGACCAGACAATCTGATGCAGTGTCCGATTGTCTGGCCAGTACATTGCCCGGCTGTGGTCACTTTGTTTGGACAGAGGAAATGACCTAGCGGACTGTCTAACAACTCTAGGATGTTAACAAAGGGGTCCTAGAAAATTCTAGTGGTGCTAGATTGTCCGGCGCTTTATAGCCCAACGGGCACACCTACCGTTGGAAAAGTATAAAATATTGAATAGTCCGGGACCATGCCAAACTGTCCGACCCTATACAATTTTGGCTTATTCTTTTCAATGGTAACTAATGGCTAGTGAGCTTGTTTAGGGCTACAATATACCCATTGTGTTGGACTCCCTGATGTCTTTTGGAACCCTAGTGAGCTGAGCAATTCAAGGGAGAGTCCAAGAGCACCATCTAGCTAATTGTGATTTCTTCATTAGTTTAGTGCTAGTTTGAGTTGAGAGTGGCTTAGTGTGCACCATCCAAGAGACTTCATGTCACTCTTGGCAAATCGAGCAACTTATAAGGTCTTATCCCTCCAACCATGCCATTCTCGGGTTAACTCTTTTACACAAAACGAGGACAAAAATGTAAGTGTGGTGATATGTATTAGTAGGCCCACTAGTGGGTTGGGCTGGGTTACATGGTTCTAGAGGCAAGGCTATTACAAATGGTATTAGAGCCGAACCTCATGGTTGCAAGTATGGGTCAGTGTGCGGGCATATGGCGTCGACACTGGATGTACGGACGTGCGCTAAGAGGGGGTGTGTTTCTGGACATCTGCTTGTGTAGCTATGTGGGTGAGTTGGACCGACAGGGACGTCGGGTCCTTTGTGGGGGGTGTATGTGACATCCTTACCTAATTAGGATGAGACATGTGTGACCCATGAGAGCTGTGTGCACATGTTTAGTACCACCTTACTAGTTTAGCAAGGGTGGAACTAACTTACAAGGCCTTGTGTAACTATACTACTCCTGGGTTAACCCTTTTACACGAAGCGAAAACAAAAGTGTAAGTGGGCCCGCCAGTGGGTTGGGCTAGGTTATGTAGTTCTAGAGGAAGGCTGTTACAGGGCAGCGGAGACGGAGCTTGCGAGGAGGTAGCTACAGTGGCGACGAACCCCGAGCGACCTCCGCCTCTCCCACTAGCGGAGGCCGAGGAGGCGGCGCACCCGATCACGCCTCGCGTACGCTATGTTGGACAAAACTGATTTAGATTGGGTCAAGGGGGGTTATTCGTCCAGAATTGAAAATTCAAGGTGAGCGATGTCTGATTTTTTGGTTTAGGGGGTAATTCGGTCTACCGTGATAGTTTAGGAAGGGGAGGGGTAATTCGTACTTTTTTTCTATCTATGAAGACTCCATCTTAATTTGCGGCAATATATGAAAATTTCTGCACATGATATGTATTTCCTCTTTAATTTTCACCTTCCAGATAACAATAATGGAACCAAATCATATTTCTGCTATATATGCACACACACATTGTCGGAAACTAATAATTAATAAAATAATAAATAAATATAGTATATATAGTTGGATGCCATTTCATTTCCATATATATAAACTCTGCAAGCTAGATGATTGCCCATGCGTCATGAATTAATTCACCGCCCGGCAGTTGACCCTGATCTCGCCGGCCGACCCCGTCAGCGGGCTAATGTTGCCCATCTTCACCATCGCCGTCGAGAAGTCGCTGGCGAACTGGTCGTTGCTGGACGCGTAGCTCCTGACCAGGCCGTCCGTGGAGCCCCCGCCGCCGGCGAACAGCGCCTGGTCGGAGTGGAGCAGGCCGCGCTGGGAGAGGAGGCCGCCGAAGTAGCCGTTGTCGAAGGCGTCCGGCGACGACTCGTCCAGCGGCGCGAGGCCGCTGCCGTCGCCGGACTGGGGGCAGCCAGCACGCAGCGACGCCGCGAACGACGCGTCGATGTCGGTATCGTTGTAGATCCTGTCCCGGAAGTTGGCGCACTGCGCCCGCCCGATGGTGTGGGCTCCTGTAAAGACGATTAATGGTAAAATCTAGTAAGTGTTCCACGTGAAACAAGGTGTAATTATGTGTAACTAATTAAGTTTTAATTATTACGAACTTAAAAAATAGATTATTCTGATATTTTATAACAACTTTAGTATAGAAAATTTTCACACGAAATACACTGTTTAACAGTTTGAAAAACGTGCCACGAATATTCAAAAGTTTATCGAACATTTATATATGTGAAATGATATTAATCAATAATCACAGTCTTACAGACGGTTTTAGTATCAGTATAAAGATGTCATTGATCTATGTGGAGATGATTTTTTTAAGGAAAAAGTACGAATTACCCCTCTAAACTATCGCGGTCGTCCGATGTATCCCTAAACTCAAAAACCGGACATTTGACACCTTAAACTCTTAAGACCGAACAAATTACCACCCTAACATGGTTTGAAGCGGTTTTCAGCCTACGTAGCACACATGTGGCGATACAGTCAGCATAAACAAATAAAAAAACCAGTGGGGCCTACTTGTCAGCTTTTTTTTCCTCTCCTCCTTCTCTAGCTCTCTCTCGGTGAGCAGAGAGAGCACGCGGCAGCGGCGAACGCGACGCACTCTGCCTTCGCCTCCACCGCCGACCGCCCGAACTCGCCGCCTCCATCGCCGGTTGCCCGAGCATTCTCTGCGTTCGCCGGCGGATGTGGTTGGACGGCCACGATGCCGATGACCAGGACGACGGACTCACGGACCGTTCGCCGCCTCCACCGCATCAACGAGAGAAGTAGAGAAGGGAAGGGGAAAACTTGTCAGCTTCCCCAACGACCTCTGCCTCGCCGGCCCGCATGGCGTGTTGTGCGACGACGGTGACGCGTCCCACATCGTCGGCATCTCGCTCGGCTACGTCTCCGACTTCTCCGCCAACCCTAGCAGCGCAGCGCCCTCCGCCTCCGCCGCCGCCAGCCTCCCGCTCCTCTGCCGAACGCAAAGGCGGAGGGCGGAGCTGGGTGGCGAGTGGCGGTGCGCATGGCTAGGTCGCTCCGGCCGGTGGCGAGCAGCGGCGGGCGCGACTGTGTGGCTCCGGTTGACGGCGACGACGGTGGATGGGGACGACGTGGATGGGCGGCGAACTCGTTGCCGTAGCGCACCGCCTCCAATGCCCTTCTCGGCGCCGCCCACCGTGCCCTCCACGCCACGCGCGCCGCTCGCCGCGCCCTCCCCGAGGATGATTCATCGTCGCCCACCTGCCTGAGCACAGAGAGAGAGAGAGAGAGAGAGGGAGAGACGACTACGTGACGGCGCGGGCGCACGGAGCTCGGCGCGGCTTCCCCCCTCCCCCCTCTCGGCTTCTCCCCAAGTGTGCATCCTCGGCATCGCCCTCGCCCTCGGCGGCAGCGGAGCAGGAAGGAGCTGGTCGAGAGTGGCGCGGAGGCCCGCGGCGGCGGCCTCGTGGTTCTTGGCGATGCCCAGCCATGCCTGCCCTCTGCGCCCATCTTGGCCTCCGCGACGTGCAGCCGCCGCGCGGCGACGCCCTTTACTGCCGACACCACCGCCAGCAGGCGCAGGCGCCGTGCCTCCTCGGCGAAAGGGCGGCACGCTCCCCCTCCCTCTCGGCAGCGTGCGCGCGGGGAGGACGAGGGCGGCGGCGGGACGGCCGGCGTCGAGGCCCCCTCCGCTACGCCGCTCCAACGGCACCCCCACCTCCACCCGCCGCCGCCGCCGGCTAGCTCGTTCGCGGCTGCTGCCTCCCGCCTACCCTCGATACCGCCGGACACCGGCGCCCAGCCACCCCTCCTTTGTGAGAGAGAGAGAAGAGAGAGTACGAAGAGAGACTACGAGTGTATAACATGTGGGTCCCACTTTTTTTAATAAATAGAATGCTGACTAGGCTGACACGCGTACGCCACGTAAACCAAAACCACCGTGGATTGGATCGAGGGGGGTAATTCGTCCGGTTTGTATAGTTGGGATGAAGAATGTCTGGTTTTGTGGTTCGGGGGATAATTCGGACGACCAAGATAGTTCGGAGGGGTAATTCGTACTTTTTCCTTTTTTTAATCACTTGCTTTGCAACCGTATTCTCTCTTTCTTCAAACATCGAAAAATGGCACTTCTCTCTTCTTTTTTTACCGTGTGCATTTCTTTTGCCCCCGTCGTCTAGTCAACAAGTTGACTGTTTAAGCTTTTCCCCAGATTACCATTATACCCTTTTGGATGTTCCAAAACAATACGACACACTTGGAATTTTGTTTAAATGAATACCGTAATATATCAGAAAAACAAATTGTAGCCACTTTTTCAAAGGTTTAAATTTTCAGAAGAACACATAAATATGCAACTATTATACTTTTAAAAAAACTAGAAAAAATACCCGTGCAACGGGTGAAGTATTTTTTAATCTTATTATTATTATATGGTTTAGTTAATTTGAAATTTATTGTGGGAGTTCGCTTGGATATATATATTTTTAGAAAATTATGAGCTGCAGTTAGGAGTCCGAACGTCTCAAGTTAGCATGTGAGTTTTTTTTAAACAAATTTCTTATATGATTCTTTCTGTATTACCAAAAGTGAACGATCTTAAAAACCGACACAAATATGGATATATATTTCCAAAAGCAAACGAACTTAAAAACCGACTCATACACGGATGACATACAAAATACCAGAAAAAAAATCTTTAATTTTTATAATAGTAGAGAATTACTCCATGGGAATGCATGCATGATTTGGTTATTAAATATTTCATGGAATAATTTATAATAGGTTATTATGTGCAAGGCTATTTCACAATTTATTGGGGGAGTAATGTAAGATATATATATGCAATTAATACTCGTGTGGATATGCAATTAATATTTTTTAAATAATGTATTTTTAAATCACCCTATAGAAACTTTTCAAACTAATTGAAAATTAAATTTCATGCCATGTTGTTTTTATACAACATCGAAGAACTAAAAAGATAAATTATATGTTCCTTGCTTTCCATAATTTCTTATAGTACTCCAATATACTCCCTCCGTCCCAAAATATAACAAGTTTCAGGGTTGGACACGGTTATTAAGAAAGTAGATAGAAGTGAGTGATGGAGAGTTGTGATTGGATAAATAGTGGAGGTAGGTGGGAAAAGTGAATGGCGGAGAGTTGTGATTGATTGGGAAGAGAATGTTGGTGGAGAAGTTGTTATATTTTGAAACGGAGGGAATAATGTAGTTTCATATATGGGCATATGGTGATTTGACGGGGTAATCCTAATAGGCGGGTGATCGCTCCCTCCCCTCCCCAGCGATCACCCGCCCCTCCCCCTTACTACTTTACCTCCCCTTCTTCTCTTACTACTACACCATAAAAATTTGAATTAAAATTCAAATTTGAAACGGGTATGTAAACTTTTTACTTATAAACTTTGGGTCTATAAACTAATATTTGAATTCAAATTCAAATTCAAATTTGAATCGGGTATGTAAACTTTTGACCTATAAACTTTGGGTCTATAAACTAATATTTGAATTTAAATTCAAATTTAAAATGGGTATGTAAACTTTTTACTTATAAACTTTGGGTCTATAAACTATTATTTGAATTCAAATTCAAATTTGAAATGGGTCTATAAACTTTAGGTCTATAAACTTTTAGATGTATAGAAATACTATATATTAAAAAAATATTTGAATTCAAATTTAAATTTGAATCGGATATATAAACTTTTGACTTAGAAACTTTAGGTCTATAAACTTTAGGTGTATAAAATTTAGATATATAGAAATACTATATATAAAAAATATTTGAATTCAAATTCAAATTTGAATCGGATATATAAACTTTTGACTTATAAACTTTGGGTCTCTAAACTTTAGATGTGTAAACTTGAGGTGTATAAATTTTAGGTGCATAAATTTACTAAAATAGGAAAATAATGCGGTGCCAAAAAATGAAACCAGGTGGAGGGAGGGGGGAGCGAATTGATCGCTGCCCCCATCGCCAGGCGAGCGATCGCCCATTAGCCGTTTCGTGATTTGACGTGCACCAATAATAATGTCAACAAGGAAATGAGCACGTACGGAATAGTGATAAGAAAAAGAAGTGGAGGTGCGGTCTGAACATAGTGGATAAAAAGAAAATCTCCTGTGAGACAGCTATACATATCTCTGTGCACAAATGTGAGAATTTGACCCTTTGCAAAAACTAATTTTACAAATGAACTGTGGCCAAAACTTATTTTAAAAAAGATCCTTTTGTTCAGCGTCAAATCGTATAGCGCTGAACTTAGACACCTCGACGCTAAATAGCACAGCGCTGAATGCACGTTGGCACGCCGAATCAGCCTCCTATCCGCAGTGGCACGGCATTCAACGCCAGTTGACGTGGCGCTGAGGTGTCAAATTTCAGCGTCATACGAAGGTTATTTTTGAAATAAGTTTTGACCGCGTTTATTTATAAAATTAGTTTTTGCAAAGGATGAAATTGTTAAAATTTGTGTATCTATGTGTGTTGATTTCTCGTGATCGATCAATCGCGGCAACATGATTTGACATGCATGCAATGTGGTTCCATGCACGATATATAGTGAACGACTGAGACTCTGAGAGTTAGGTAGGTGGTCACCTTGATCGAGATCGATCGATCATTGTGCAGATAGTTGAGGCATGTTACGTGTTGCGAGAGGTTGCAAACTAAAGCGAAGGTGACAGCCGTCGTCGATCATCACTATTGAGATCACTGTGTACTGTATTGAATTGAGGCGAATGCAGACAATTAAGCCGACGCATCATATATGAATTCATGCATAACCTTGACTAGCTTTTGCTACTAGCCATATGTGTGCATGATCCACGATTTGTATTTTGTGTGGATGCATATGCATGAACGTATACTCTCATTAGGACGCTTCTGAGGAGATCGCGCTCACACCAGTCAGAATTAATTATTAATGGAAGTATGGAACAGACAAGCATGCATGCATATGCATGGAGTTCGTACTTATGTCTGCTGTCACGCACGCATACGTACAAAATCTAACTACTTTATGTGACTCACGCTTGTTGTTTTTGAAATGGAAATTTACTGTATGGTTCATATTCATCACTAGTTTTGTGGTTGATCGGTGCATATCATTAATAATAATGTAATGCATATTCAGTCTTTCAGATATATGAATTTGGGACCCTTCAATTTTGCAACATGCCATGTGCACTAGAGATGCAGATCGAGTCAAAGCCAAGACCATCCATGAATGCATGCATATTTGAATTATATATATATACAAGAGAAATCCCATATCCTACGTACGGAGAATTTTGAACTTGCTACCCTCATGTACCCCATGTTTAATAGGCAAAGATGGACCTATGTAGAAGGAGTGATTCATTCGGAGCGATAATATTGATGTAGAAATTTCTTCTCTTAATTTAATTTTCGTCTAGACGGTACGTGCTGATTAATTTCTAGGATAGTGTTGGATTAGTTTAGACAAAGAGATCGTGCGATCATTAATTAGCATATAATTAAGCGTACGTGTACTGTACCCGAGAGGACAACCATGTCGGTGGTGGTGAGTCCCTTGTTGGAGAAAGCGGCGAGGAGAGTGGCGAGGGTGGAGGACGGCGCGGGGAGGTCGCTGTTGGCCAGCGACGCGCTCGCCGTGGTGGAGTCCCTCCTCCCCAGGAGGACCGTCCATGACGGGCCCCCGAGCTGCAATGCATGCATGCACACCACAAAGAAACCAAACAATACTCATATATAGTATGCTCAAAAAGGTTTTTCTTAAAATATACTACCTCCGTTTTTTAATAGATGACGCTGTTGACTTTTTCTCACATGTTTGACCATTCGTTTTATTCAAAAAATTTATGCAAATGTATAAGATATAAATCACACTTAAAGTACTATGAGTGATAAAACAACTCATAACAAAATAAATTATAATTACGTAAATTTTTTGAATAAGACGAATGATCAAACATGCGAGAAAAAGTCAACGGCGTCGTATATTAAAAACCGGAGGGAGTATATTCTCCATGTATATATACTAGGTGCTCGATCTAGTCAGCTAGTATTGATGAGATCGTCCGTCCGCTAGACGGTCACCAGGTGCGTACCTGGACGACGGCGTCGCGGGCGGCGACGGCGAGGATGTCGGCGCACGAGACGGTCTGCGGGCACACCGTCTCCAGCAGCGTCTTGGCGTTGTCGACCACCTCGAACCCGCGCAGCGACCCGGCGTTCGGCCCGGCGCCCTTCTCGCCGGTGAAGCTGCCCGTGTCGTCAAGAAGCACCGACGCGTCGCAGCCCTACATGAGACATGCATGCCAATCAATCGAGATCGACGACGACCAGACGATCGACTGGTGGCCGGAGGGGAAGGAGAATTAACAAGGGATAGCTTAATTGCCTGGACGAAGCAGTCGTGGAAGTGGAGGCGGAGGAGGGAGGCGCCCATGCGGGGGTCGAGCAGCACCGCCGCCGACACGACGGTCCTGATGGTGAGCAGCGCGGCCGGGCAGGAAGCGTCGTAGTAGCTGTCGGACAGTTGGGCGTTGGCTACTGTACTGCTGGTGGCCAGTGCAAGGAACAGGAGGACCATGAATGGGGCAGACAAACGGTGCCGCTGCGTGCGACTGCGAGAAGCTGGACGAGGAGGAGCCATCATGCGTGTGTCTAAAAGGTTCAGGCTCAGGCTCAGCTCTCCTTTAATTTCCGGTTTGAACGATAGCCAGTTCCAAAAGTATATTTATAGACATGCACGCACGAACCATTAATTAATCCATGTCATAGCATATGGAGAATGAATGTAACTAAATACTCCCTCCATTTCAAAATGTTTGACACCGTTGACTTTTTAATACGTGTTTGACCATTCGTCTTATTCAAAAAATTTAAGTAATTATTTATTATTTTTATATCATTGGATTCATTGTTAAATATACTTTCATGTACACATATACTTTCATATATTTCACAAATTATTTTAAATAAGACAAACGGTCAAACATATGCTAAAAAGTCAACGGTGTCAAACATTTTGAAACGGAGGGAGTAAATACGAATGATGACACAATTAGTATTCAAAACAAAATTAACTAATTAGTTAATTTGAGTGGGTAGTTAATACTTAATCGCTCCAAAAAAATACTTATTGTTATGCCATGTAGTCGAAATTTTTATATGCATGTTACTTCATGTGAATAGATACATGAATAGAACTATAGAAGTAAGACCGTACCTGAGTACTCCCACCGGTTTCATAATTATTGATGTTTTGGACAAAGTTGTAACACCCAGCCCGTTTGAAGCCTAGTAGCGTGTGTTTGGCTCATGTGGTGTTTGGCCCATGTGGCCCAGAAGTAGATGTGTAGTGGTGGTTTAGTACCACCTTAGAAGTTTAGATGGGTGAGGGCCTGCTTATAAGCCTTGGTGCTCCAACCATGGTATCCCCGGGTTAACCCTTTTACACAAAGCGAGGACGAAAGTGTAAGCGGGATACCATACGAACGTGGGGGTCCGCTCAACGTGTAGAGCGGACTAATGCGAATTTTGAAGGTAGGGTGTTACAAAAGTTGAGAGGTAAACTTTTATAACTTTGACCATCAATAACTTTAAAAATAATTAATTTAAAAAAACTAGAACAACATATATAGATTTATCTTTCAAAGCACTATAATAAAAAATAAACATACATTTATTTATTGTATTATTCAAATAGAAAAATAATGTTAAAAATATTTTTTTTAGACCGTGGCAATGTCTAAATATCAATTAAAATGAAATCGGAGAGAGTAATTGGGTCATATGCAAAAGCTAGTTTAGACATAAAGTCCAACGGGGATCCCTAATTAATTCACGTGTGCGCGCTAGCAGCTGGCTGTGTAACTCGCGCCCGCCCCCATGATGCCCACGCAAAGCACACATATTAGTGCTATAGCAGTAATTATACACGCTAATAATAGTAATTAGTATTATTTTTTAAAAAAATAAATATTTTACTTAAAAGTTTTAAAAGAATAGTTGAAAGTTTACAATTGAGTTAAAAGTTTCTGAATTTTGGGTTAAAAGTTTCTGAAATTTGAGTTAAAAGTATTCAATTTTGATATGTAACCTTTCAATTTTGAGATGAAAATTTTGAATTTTGAGTTAAAACTTTTTAAAATTTGAGTTGAAAGTGAGATGAAAGTTTTAAAGTTTGGGAGAAACTTTATGAATTTTGATTTCAACGTTTTAAATTCCAGTAGAAGGTTTTGCTTTTTTTAATCTTCCCCCAAATTTGAGCTGACTCAAGAATAAACCTCATTTTTTTAAGGGTGTATCTATAAAACTTTCGACAATTTTTTTAATAGAAAACTTTCATACATAACTACAGGCGATTTACATTGTAGTTACATGTAACTATTATTGTAACTATTATGTAATTGTAACTGGTGTATAAAGATTCGTAAACAAATGAGTAGCTCGTTGGTTAAGGTGCTTGCACGCAACTTACGTGTTCCGGATTCGATTCTTCTTCACGAAGGTGTACTGGTAGATATTTGAAAGTATTGGTCCACAAAAACATGCGATAGAAAAATAGAAATTCCCCAAATTCCCCTTTTTTTTAATTGGATCCATGTCATTGTAAATTCTTCAGTTTTGAAATATACTATGATAATATGTGATATTATAACTATGCCACTTTAATATTGGATCCATGTCATTGTAAATTCTTCAGTTTTGAAATATACTATGATAATATGTGATATTATAACTATGCCACTTTAATACTACAATAATTTGAGGTATGCCACTGTTTACCCTTTCATAGCTTTCGCACTGGTGAGTGGTGCTACCTATTCCGATGGTTCATACCGCTTCTACTCACTTCAAATCCTTTATATTTTAGAACGGAGAGAGTAGCTCGTGAACTGGAAAAATATGCAATTAATGTTGCAAGTTTAAAATGCTTCTATAGTTGTATATGCTGTAGGATGATTAGTTTCTATTCCCCCCTCTCACAAAGAATTTATTTTTCAGTTTTTGAATATAACTTTTGACTCTTCAACTTATTTAAAAGTTTTATATGATTAGTTTTTTTAATGAGAAAATATGAATAGTACTTTGTGTGTGACTAATTTTTTTAAATATTATTATAAATTTTTAAATAAGACAAACAGTCAAACGTTAGATAAAAAAAACCCAAAAATAAAGTCTCTTTGAGACGGCGGAGTACAAGTGCAATCTGCAGGTACAGCTTTGGATCTTGCGATAGCAACCCACTTTTAAGGCCGTGTTTAGATTCAAATTTTTTCTTCAAACTTCCAACTTTTCCGTCACATCAAATATATGGACACATGCATGGAGCATTAAATGTGGAAAAAAAACCAATTGCACAATTTGCATGTAAATCGCGAGAACGAATCTTTTGAGCCTAATTATATCATGATTTGATAATGTTATGCTACAGTAAACACTCGATAATGACGGATTAATTAGGCTTAATAAATTCGTCTCGCAGTTTACAGGCGGAATCTGTAATTTGTTTTATTATTAGTCTACGTTTAATACTTCAAATGTGTGTCTGTATACTTAAAAATATTTTGGCACATGAACTAATCACAGCCTAAGTCGTACCATCGACAACTTTTTAAATTTGTCGTTGTTCATGCATCCATGTACCACCTGTTGATCTAGCTAGCTAGGAGTAGATTGCCGGCCAGCTTTTGAATGCATGCTTGTCTTAGCAAGGATGACAAATGGTTGAGAATGATGTATGAACTAATCACTCTCCAGCTGTTGCAACTTGCAAACAAGAAGCATTAGTGAAGAATAGCGAATTAGTTACTACCAAGTCATAAAAACAACTCCCTCTATTTCATTTTATATTATAAGTCATTTTAACTTTTCTCTAATCAAACTTTATATGTTTGACCAATTTTATAGAGAAATTTAGCAATTTCTACAACATCAAATTAGTTCTATTACATCTATCATCAAATATTTTGATAATATGTTTCTTTTCAGTTCGAAATGTTGTTATATTTTTCTATAAACATTAGTACGTATCCTTCCATCTGTGGCGGCCTCTCACATGCCTGGTTTTGCCGGCCATCACAGCTTCATCTCAATTGGGCCAAAATAAACACCGTCGTAGAACTCGTACAGGCATAATCAAGTTGCATATAGCTAGAGCCCGTCATCGATGATACTCATCTATGACGGTGTCACGCCCAGAAATTTAGCCCAAATTTCTAGTCTATTTTGTGTATTAAATCCCTGTCCAGGACCAACCAGGGTACACGAAACGACAAATTAATATACAGATTCAAACGTAAATAAAGCGTAAAATACTTACAGAAGAGGCACTTAGTCCTCACACCGAAACGAAAGCAGCAGTAGCGAAAAAAGGCAATCCTAGTGGAGCTTCAGCTCCACTCCACAGGCAAAACTCAACTGGGGTATGAGCCTTGGTCCTCTAACTTCGTCTTCAACTCAGAAGCGCTATACTTCTGAAAGGGGGAAATAAAAGCAAGGCTGAGTAAAACCACCGTACTCAGCAAGCCACACCAAAAATGCAGACGTGCAAAGGGAAACAAGGATGGCTAGTGGCTATTTGCATAAAGGCGGTTGCAAAGCATTTTATTGAGCAAAACAGTAAAATGGTTGATTAATTAAGGTAACAATAAATCTCTACTGATCAACGCTACACCACGTTGAACAGGCCCAACCAAACCTCCTGAACTACACCAGTTCATTAACCAATTATTAAGGATGTGACTAATCATGGTGAATCTGGTCGATCGCCCATAATCACGGGCACGGCTATTCGAATAGTTTTACTCTGGCCAGAGGTGCACAACTGTACCCACAAAACACAATCCACCGGCATGTCACCGTGTCTGTGCAGACACGTCACCATGTCGAGTGATTGTGACAAGACCCTTCATATAACTCTCCCCTAACTATCCACACCACGCTAAAGTTTCACCCCCACCCCTACCACAGAGGTGGGCAGTCCCCTTGTGCGTCGCGTTGAATCCGGCAGCTGGACAACCAGACACCCCCGGCTGACCCAACTCCATCACGCCCACACTCGCCACAGGTGCCTAGGAAAGGGTCGAGCTACACTACAAGTCAAGTAATTACTATTCCTGCTTACGGTAAGCACCGTTAGTCTTCTAGGGTTTCTCGTGAACTGGTCCTTAATTGCCATGGGCGCTACTAGCAAAATCATGCACCCACAGCCCACCATTCAGTCGCACCCTGATCCCCTGTAATTAGTAAGACATGCAATTTTATTTGCAAACGACAAAACATTTATAAATTGGGATCAACATGCTCAAGGGGAATGTGTGACTTGCCTTGCTTCTTCAATTGATCTTCTGAACTCTTTTCCTCGCAACCACGGACTTCCGAAATGGCGGAAACTACACGCTGGCACACAAAATGAGGAAAAACCCTAATAAAAACCAAGTAAACAGTACATAAAAAGTAAACAAACAGGTAGATCTCAATTTTAGATGAATTTTGCAAGTTGAATGGCTCAATTTGGAGTTCGTATGAATTAGTTATGAATTTTAGAAGCTTTTGAGACATTTAAATCAATTTCTAGAATTAAACCAAATTATTGCACAATTATTAATTATTTCTCAAAGGAAAAAGGGATGTTGACACCATTGAAGGGGAGGCTGGCGCCGACACGTGGGCTCCAGACGTCAGTGGCTCCAAAGGGTCGGCACATGGTGGACCAAGTCCATCGCG